TGGGCAACACAATCTTTTAGTTGTTTCTTTTTAAGCTCTAATATGGTTATGAGGATTGCAAATTAATGCTGAGGCTTCTGGTAACTAGATGGCTCTGTGGAAAGGTAATATGATAAATCTAGCTCACACGCATAGGTCACTGGTTCAAATCAAGTCCAGATAAGCAGTGTCTAAATGTTGTTGACATCTGACAGTTGTTCAGTGGCCTGTGTGAAATGAGTTTGTGTCTTAGTTCTTTGGGGTTAGATTTCAATATCAATAAAACACTGCCATAGACTTGATCCTACAATCTCTACTTAAGGAAAAACTACCTTCAACGAAGTCAATGGGAGTTAAGGTGTGAAGGATCGAGCTTCATAGTTCTAATTCAATGACTCAGTTGTTGCTAGTCTATCAGGGAGCAGAATTGAATGGGGATGGAGACTGAGCTATCATTTTGTCTTTTAATAGTAATTTAGTGCCACTGTGAAACTGGAGAAAACGCTTTACCAGCTCAGTTACCGTCTCTCTGTGGCCATTTATTGTATACATTTATTTTTATTTAATAGTGTTAAAGAAACAAACAACTTTGATCGAATGGCAATCAAATTCTATGGAAGCCTTTCCATTGACTTCAATGGGCATTGGCACTGCCTTATATAATAGAAATTCCTGTTCTGTTCAGAGTTGGATAGTGTTTTACAATAGTTTAAAATCTGTGAGGAAAGGGCTGTGAGGAAAGATACTTTGGGTGGAACAAGTGTCACAAGCAGTGGGTCTCTAGGCAATATCATGCCATACCTGGCTCCATATCAGTAAATCAAGCTTCTTAGTCATTGAAACTTGGAGCATAGGCTGAGGTGTTTTTTGTCCCTAAAACCTCTAATAAGTCCTACTGCATAAAACAATGTGCTAACACCATTGTTACTTATAGTGAAGGAAGTGGGGAGAAAAAGAAGCCCCAGCTTGGTGAAATCTTGTTTCACAATAATAGGAAGAGCCAACACTGACGGTAACAAAAGCCCACTGTCACCATGGATGCTTGATCATTGTAATCTGATATCCCCACAGGAACTTTTTAGACAACCCTTATTTAAAACCCAAATAGTCCAAAGAATTGGGAGGCCCTGATCTGGTTCCTGATCTGTATTTACACTGAGAGTTCTTTGTTCCTTGAGTTTATCTTAGGACACCTGTGTTATAGCTCAATTCTTCTAGTTATGTCCAGCATCCAAAGACACTTTGCAACAGAGGTGAGCACCTCTTAGTTTGACTCTTCTAATCAAGCCTACTTGGAGGAAAAATGTTACTGATAAAATAATAATAGTAGTAGTATCTTACCAGCATTTCGCTCCCTTAGTCTTTATTGTACTTCTCAAGACTCTTCCCAATGCTAAAGTGGAATTGAGCTCAGCAGGGACATCTCTTCTTTCCATTTCTACCACAGGGCCGCCAAGAGCTGATTCGGGCCCCGGTGAAAAAAAGTGTTTGGGCCCTCCAGCAAGGGCGGACTGGCTAAACGGCCAACGAGGGGTGGGGGAAGCCAGGCCCCGGGCCCCGTTCCGGACCACCGGGCCCTGGTAATTTGTACCGGCTTTCTTCCCGCGCCCCCTCGTTGGCCCTGTTCTGCCATGCCCACTTCCAGGACTAATTTCAATAGATAAAAATTTGGGACGGTGGGGTTTATGTTCATCTACCCATATACAGCACTAGCTATATGACAAGGAGGGATTGGGTTATTTATATGGAGCTGCAATTCCTGCCTTCTCCATGTTTGTCAGCCTGTCAGCATTACAAGCTGGTAGTGCCTAGCACTATTGTGCATGTATTGACATCCATCCGTTCACGATAAACATTCAATCATGACATGAACTTGGAATAAAACTAAAATTAAACCTGGACTAATATTAATAAAATACCAGATGTCAAATAAAACTAAGTTCCCAGTGACTGATGTTTTGTCATAAACTACCACATGTCCCCATCAAATCAAGTTTTATTGAATTAGTTGTAATAAGATTAAAATATCGCAAATAAAGCTTATAAAAATGGAGTGTGATTTATAGTACAGCTAGAATTAATCAAACCTGGCAGCAACTGTTAGAATTAGCACTGTTCTCCATGGCTAGTACTTTGGCTATCTTACAGATATTTCACATAAGCGCATTGCCCAAGATGTACAACAGTGACTAGTGATTTGGGTATCGCTATCTTACATCCCTTAAAGGAGCTCAATTTCAGAAAGTGCTAAGCATCCACCCTCTGAAGGTGCCTCAAATGGGGCTTTCAAAATCACTAGTCGACTTCGAAAAACCTTATCTATTGGCTTGAAGCAGACCAAGCTGTGAGAGCTGATTATGTTTCTGTAAGCACTTCTATCTATAAGTCACTATAAAGCTATAAAAAGAGGCAATTTGGCCCCTGATGCAACTTCATGATAGAATCTCTCCCATCTAATAGATTCTTGCCTGTGTCTGGTCCTGCTTCGTGGCCCAGCCAGATTGTTTTTTATGGTGGGAACCAATCTTTGTCCCAAAGATGCAGCTCCTACTCGCTGTTCTAACACAGCGGAGAATGTTCACTTTGGAGACCCCCTATGAACCCTATGTCATACAGTTGTGAGGGAAGTAAAGAGCTCCTGCTCTTTTACCCAAGAGCCAGCAAAGCCATACCCCTCAGAAATTTTCCAGACTACAACTCCATGTTACTTCATAAACCCAGGCTTTCTCCATTCAACCCTAGAACGCAGCACCTATATCTGAGAGGAATTGTATTTCCCAGGGATGTCCATCTGCATCCAAAACACTGAGAAGATAATGAAGTGATAAGTAACGGTCAGCATGGATTTATCAAGAACAAATCGTGTCAAACCAACCTGATAGCTTTCTTTGACAGGGTAACAAGCCTTGTGGATAGGGAGGAAGCGGTAGATGTGGTATATCTTGATGTTAGTAAGGCTTTTGATACTGTCTTGCATGACCTTCTCATAAACAAACTAGGGAAATACAACCTCGATGGAGCTACTATCAGGTGGGTGCATAACTGATTGGAAAATCGTTCCCAGAGAGTAGTTATCAGTGGTTCACAGTCATGCTGGAAGGGCATAACGAGTGGGGTCCCGCAGGGATCAGTTCTAGGTCCAGTTCTGTTCAATATCTTCATCGATGATTTCGATAATGGCATAGAGAGTACACTTATAAAGTTTGTGGATGATACCAAACTGGGAGGGGTTACAAGTGCTTTGGAGGATAGGATTAAAATTCAAAATGATCTGGACAAACTGGAGAAATGGTCTGAAGTAAATAGGATGAAATTCAATAAGGACAAATGCAGAGTACTACACTTAGGAAGGAACAATCAATTGCACACATACAAAACGGGAAGTGACTGCCTAGGAAGGAGTACTGCGGAAAGGGATCT